ACAGTTAAGCAAAGGTTTGAAGAGAGTTCATTAGCTGAAGAGAGGAGTTTGGGGAGGAAGTGGGACATCGTCTTTGACGCAGAGTGCCAGCAAGGCTCTGTGGTGGAGACCGAGCAGGGTTCCTGCCACTTGGAGTGTTAGGAGGCTTCAGTAAGATTGTCCCGGATGGCACTGGCCCAGCAGCTGATGGGCCTGGCAGAGGCAATGCACACTCAGTACCGCTAAGCCGCCTTGAGGTGGCTACAAGCTGATGTCTACCTGCAGAGGAGAACCTCCAAAGCATGGGTGCCAGCATGCCTGTGGCGTGTGCCGATGTCAGTCCTCTCTGAGGGGGCCTCCCATCATTCCCCTCTGAGGACCCTGTGTCAGAGTTCCTCCAAGAGGCCCTCAGTCCCTGTTCAGCCTGCTGCCTGACCTTGTCCTTCTGAGAAGACTGAGTCATGCAAATGGTCCTGATTGAATCACTCTCAGGCGGACTGGGACACCCAGGCTTTGAAAGGTATTAGATGTGGCCATTTCTTCTTGACCTGCTCTTCGTCTGGGGCTCAGGATGATGTGTTGCTGGCTCCTTACTGTCTGACAGCTTACAAGGGACAGCCCAGCCTCTACTAATCCATCTGCCACATCCGTTTCCCTTTCCCAAGCCTAATGCCTTGGAAGCAAAACCCAGGGACCGCAGGTCCAGTGTGACGAGATTTTTGGGGGTTGGTCAAACGGACCCTCCTTACACAGCGTCCTGAGCTTGGTTTCAGATCGGAGCTAAAATTTTGGGCTTGTCTTTGTGCATGAGTTTTGAAAACGGTCTAACAGAGAGCAGCGCTGAAACACACAGGGAGGAATAGATGCCTGGTTTGATGCCAACTTCACGGACTTTTCCACATCCCCGAGTGCGCGCATTAAACAGATTACGAGTTTATTGTGTAAACCTCCATCCCTCCTGTTGCCAGCCGAGAAGGTCTGAACCAACCACTGTGCGACTATCTGGCTTTGTTTAATACGTGTTCCTCCTGGGGCTATGTATTATACCACCGATACCCCTCTTGTCAACTCTCTGAGCACAATATTATACTAGCAAATCCTACCAACAAAAGCTCAGTATGATCGTGGAGCTGCTGGTAACAAACCTAGCAAAGCCTCTTCCCCACGACATGCTCCCTGTCCAACACAGCTCCCTGGGTCTGAACACACACAGCCTGCAGGCTTCACAGCTCATGGACTCCGTTCTTTGCAGAGGGACTGGGGTAGTGCGGGCAGGTAGCTTTGTGGAGACTGCCAGCCTCCTAAGATTGTCTGAGCCTCTCCCAACTCTCAGCCCTCTGAAGCCAGGCCAACCTTGTCGGATGGATGGATGTATTTCCCTTCACATATTTCCTATGTCTGCTTCAAAACCCTCAGCTCTCTTCAGACGTCTGCTAGGTCTTCCTTCTGACCGTCATTGTGTTCTTCTCTCTGGCTTACCCTCTTGGTGAGTCCTGCAGAAAGAATGTAGATTCCGCGATGATAGAAGAAATCTTTGCTCTCCCCCACTTCCTCCCCCCCTTCTTTGTTTCTGTGGCTGTACTCCCAGCTTTAAAACCCTTGATTGCCACATGGCAACTCCTTAGCAAGTATTGACCAGATGATTTCATGTTTTGTGGCTCTTCCCAGTTCTCTCTTTCTGTCTGTCTCTCTGTCTCTCTCTGTCTCTGTCTCTCTCTCTCTCTCTCTCTCTCTCTCTCTCTCTCTCCACTGTATCTCTAAATGGCATCTAAACCCTACGTTCCTCTGCGTCGCTCTACTTGGGAAGAGCATGCATCACGAGTCACAGGCCGGTCTTATGTGACTTGGTCATTCTGTCAACCCAGAGGTCTACTACAGAGGTTGCCCAGCCCTTGGACCCTTGAGCTTTTTCTGACCTACATTTCTGGGTTCTGCAGAATTCTGAAGCCTATTTCAAGATATGCGTGAGTTTTGGGGGTGCGAGTGGGTTTACATTCTCTCCCTTGCTGTGCCTTCAGACTCTGCCACCTTCCGTCTGCTCATCCCTAAATCAATCCACGTGTGAAGCCCAGTCATGTCCACAGCGTGAGTGCGTGAGTGCGTGCGTGTGTGCGTGTGTGCACCCATGCTCACTCACTTCAGCTATCCACACCAAGACTAAGGTGATACAGGCATCCCCATTGCTGCTGTGCAAGGCCACAGCAACCACTTAAGATGGCACCCGAAATGGCCTGGCTCTTGGAGGGTCTTTTTTACCCCACCGCTGGGGTTGCAACTGGCTCTCCACCTTCTCGCCAATTCTTCTCTCCTCCCTTTCTGTAGAGAATCAAAGCTCAAAACACATTCCCAGGCAGAGTAGTTAATTTGTCCTTTGAGCTCCTGACTCCAGTTTCACCTGATCTCTAACAGCTCAACTTCTAACCTTGCTTCCCGTAAACTAAACCGGAAGTCCCCACTGTGAGAGAGTTGTGAAAATGTTAACTAAAACAGGCGCCGCAAACCAAAACCACGCTTGTGTCTCTTATGGCGGCCTTTGTAGACTCGACAAGAGAAGTTACATCTTCTTGGTAATCGCTGGACGCCAAGGTGGTGTTGACACAGTCTGACACATTGTTGAGCATATGCCGATTTGTACTTTAAAGAAAGAGAAGACTCTTGGAAGGATGAAGAATTTTAGAGAGAGGAGCTGAGTCATTTGGGGGCAGGGATGGGGTAGAGGCTTCCCTCTCCCCATGTAACCTGTCAGTGTTGCGGATTTCCCATATTTAAGAGGCTACCGTCATATCTGTGTATTGTCGATAAAGACGACACAGAAGGCTGGGTACATGAAAAGTGCTCAAACCCCGTGACCTTAAGCCTTGTGAGTCATGGGGACTCCTGATGCTGTCTGTGGTTGAGGGACGAGTCTCAGAGGCCGGTCTTGGAGAACTTGCCTGTCACCGCACATGTCTTTTTCCACTGTGACTTCCTGGTTGTGAAGAGCTGAGCAGACACGCATCATTCGCCACTTCTGGGTTATAACATCTCGTTCAGAGTTCCAAATGGTTAGAAATGTTCACAGACCACTCCTTGCCTTGCCCAGTTTTGCAAACAACCAAGAAGGAAGTTGTCAGCGCTGTAAATGTTGAAGGTACAGGTGACTGAACAATCTAAATTAGCGATAACTGCAATGCATTGGAATACATACTACATGAATTCATAATTAAAGTATATAAACAAGAATTAAAAACTCACTGACACCTTTGGAGGATGTCAAAGAACTAACTACCTTGAAAACCAATTTACAAAAAGAAAATCAAACAACTACCTTACCTATACAAAGGATATTTAATGGTAACCAAACAATTGGTCATCTCAATCTCCCTCCCTCTCTCTACCCACCTCTGTGTGTGTGTGTCTCTGTCTCTTTGGTAGACAGAGTCAGAGACACCATGGGGATTAAACCCAGAGCTGAACATGCTAGCCAGGCATTCTAACACTGAGCTGAGCCCAAGCCTGTGAAGTTTATCTTTACAGAAAGAGTTCAGGAAATAAATGAAAGATTCAGACAAATCAGAATTCCCTGTAAACTGTGTTGATCTTGACAATGATGCTGACGGCTGCTAATAACAAAAAGAAGAACTTCTTGTATTCAGTGCAATGTCTTTATTAGGTGATGAAAGTCAGGTCGGAACTGTCTTCTGGGGGAATATTTTAAGTGTATAATTCTGTCTGCACATACACAAAGATACAACACATTTATAAAGTCTTCCACGTCTGAAAAAGTCAATCCTGAATGTTAACAAATTTCTACATCTACTAATTTCACAGGAAGTATAAAAAGAGTGGGTTTAATAAAGTCATCAAGAAATAATTAGCAAAATTCAAACTTTGGGTATCCCTTGAGGACAACTTGGTTTCTTCAAATAAATTGCAGAGGAAACAAGAAAGTGGATGAGAGGGACCTGGTCAGTTAAAGCGAAGTGAAGAGAGTCATCCGATAATGAGAACAAGTCTGCTTTAGATCTTGGTTTAAACAAACTATTGAAGAATTTGGGAACAGCTGTAGAAGCCTGAATGGTAGCTACCTGAGGCATTAACTATTATTAATGTTTTAGGTGATAAAGTAATGTGGTTATGATTTCAGCATACCTTAAGCTTCAGATATGTGTATGTGTGTGTGTGTGGATGGATAGATGACAGACAGGAGATAGATAGATGAGAGAGAGAGAGAGAGAGAGAGAGAGAGAGAGAGAGAGAGAGAGAGAGAGGATAGATACATAGATAGATACATACATAGATATATTGATAAATACATAGATAGGTGGTAGATAATTTGTGATCAAATAAAAATTAAAAGCACAGGTCATATCTATGATTTAAAGACAAATCAGAGAAGAGATATAGAAGGTACTTATGATGTGTTTACTGCTTTGGGGAGTGGAACTGGGAAATTAGGAGCTGGGATGGGAGAAATAAATTTGAATAATTGCTTTAATTAATGAACTATATTAGAATGAGTTCACCAGAACCTCGCCATGCTAGGAGGGTGGGAGAGTGTGCATTTGTATTACAGAACTGTCAGGAGCAGCACCCTGGAACAGGCTTGTCCAAGTCCTAGAACCATCAGAGCTGGGTCCACCTCCCTCCCCCTAAGCTAGGATCTCAGAAACAAGAACTCAGAATCATTTGGGAACTGCCCTTGACGGCCTACGTACCAGCTTTTTAATACTTATTGTTTGGAAACTTTAGAGTGTGTAAGGGGAAAATATAGCCAGAATTAAATGCAAAGTCATGCAGTTCTGGAAGTCGGGAAGGCCTTTTCTTTTCAGATGTGTTGACAGTGATTTAATCAGCAGATGTCACTGTGCTATCCTTGGGGACATCGCTTCCATGTGTTTGTTTTAGAGACAGGGTGTCCTCCTGGCAATGTCACACAAAATATTTGGGGTAATTTTGCTTAATGACAATCCTCCTTTGTGTGTTCCCATCGCCTGGTAAAGTTCCTAAGTTTCTGTCCCTTTGTTTCTGTTTTTCCCCAGCATCATTGACAAAGAAGTCTCACTGATGGCGGAAATGGATAAAGTCAAAGAGGAAGCCAGTAAGTAGGCATGTGGCTGTATGACAAGATGCCCCCCCAACCCAAAGCAATCCATCACTCAGGTTGACAGCAGTAATTCTGGGTTGGGGAAAAGACCCTACAATTCACACTGAAATTCTGGTGGGTGATCTCCGGAACGCCAGGCAGGTCACTCGTCTCTGTGTCTCTGTATTTCTGCTACACTGTCTGGCAAAAGGATAGAGCTGCTGTTCATTCCTCTGAGCTATCTGTGCAGGTTGTTCCCTGAGGAAATAAGAGGTGTCTACTGGTTTGTTTTTTTTAATTCAAGAGGACTTCCGTGCCCACACACAAACTAAACTTAAATTTAAAAGGACAATGAATCTAATATCACATCTATGTAGATGTGTGCAGCGTGTGTTTGGGTGGGGCGTGTGAACGTGTGCGTGTGACTTTATGGAGATTGTGCGCACACCCTGGTGTGAAGGCCAGACATCAACTTGAGTTTTGCATCACATGCCACCGTATCTTTTGAGAAAGATGGTGTCACAACCTGAAGTTCATCGGTTTGGCTAGACAGCTGGTAGGCTCCAGCGATCCACCTGCCTCTGTCACCCCCCACCCCCACCCCAGGGCTGAAATTGCAGACAAGTGCTCCTGCCTTCTTCATGTGGGTTCTGGGGAAGTGAACTCAGGTCCTCCAGATTGCACAATGAACACTCTACTGCCTGGGCCATCTCCTCAGCCCTGGCATTGATCTGGGAGCAGCAGGCATTAAATCTAAAGACAGTCGTTTTGAAGTCTATACAATTTACAATCTCACTATGTCATTCAGAGTAGTTTTGACTCATTGGGGTGGTTTAAAAGAAAATGGCCCCCAAAGGGAGTGGCACTATTTGGAGGTGTAGCCTTGTTGGAGGAAGTATTTCACTGTGGGGGCAGGCCTAGAGGTTTCTTTTGCTCAAGCTTCCCTCAGTGTGACAGTCAGTCATCTTCCTGTTGCCTGCAAGATGTAGGACTCTCAGCTCCAGCACCACTTCTGCCTGCGCGCAGCCATGTTCCCTGTCATGATGATAATAGACTAAACTTCTAAAGGTGTAAGTGAGCTGCCCCAATTAAATGTCCTCCTTATCAGAATTGCCTTTGTCAAGGTGCCTCTTCCCAGCAGTAGAAAACCCTAACTGAGACTCTCATTCTCTTTTAAGTTCAAATAACTCAAGTTATTGATTTTCCCTTAAATTGCTCCTGTTTAGCCTAAGGATGTAGCTCAATTTGAGAGAGCACTTGTCCGGCGTGCTGAAGACCTGGGTTTGATTCCCCACATGACCTAAACCAGACTTGGTGATGCATGCCTGTAATCTCAGCCGTCAGGAAGTGGAAGCCAGAAGATCAACATAGTGAGTTTGGAGGAACCTGGAGTCAATGAGGAACTTTCATAAAATGAAAAACAAAACAACAAAAAAAAAATTGCGCCACTTAGGGCTGCCTAAATATTTGTAAAGGGGTGTTTGCATGTGTTTATATTATCTGTCTCTCTTCAGGCATTTTCAGAACCCTTCCATTGCACTGATAAACCAAACAAGCAGAAGATCCCCAAGCTTTGAAGCAACTTGTACAGGAGTAATAATTCAAATGGGGAGATGCACCAAATGAATTTTTTAAAAAAAAAATACTCCAGTTCTGTTTACAAACGCTGCCAAAAATGCCATCACCTGCCAACTTCAGACTGTAAGAGAGTGATCTAGAAGTAGGGGAGTAGGACCTGGTGCTGGGTTACACAGGAATTAAATAGCCAGCATTCTGGTGTTCCCTGGAGGAGGGCCACCGTGGCATGGAATGCTGGGAGGTATCTTAGCCCAGAGTTAACTTGTTAACGTGTGTGTGTGTGTGTGTGTGTGTGTGTGTGTGTGTGTGTGTGTCTAATTAGACTAATAGTAGTTGTCACAGCTCTTCACCAGGTGGGCCATCCTGTGACTACAGGGTCCAGTCATTTGGACAGGTATGTCACAGGGCTTTTCCTTGGCCCCAAAGTTTGGGTTAAACCCCCTTTTATAATGTCTCTGTTTTGTGAACAAACAGTTGAAAAGGTTTGGAGGCGTCTGGAAGAGCTGGGACTGGACCCGAAGTCAGAGTTGTTTTTAAAACCTCGGGTGCCTTTGTGTAGTCTCTGCCCAGATTAGGGGCTCCGCACCCCCCACTCTGTGCTTGTGTGTGGCGGGCCTGCTACTTCTGTAAATTCTAGCCTATAATTCAGTACTTGTTCAGTCCTGAGGCTCAATGTCTTACCTAGCCTTCTGTGGTGAAGAAGTAGATTCTAATTCCCGTGAAGGAAGGCTTTAGCAGCAGAATAGATGAACTTGCCAGCAAAAGTGAAGGCAAGCAGGAAAAAAAAAAATCAAACATTTGCTTCTTCCATTTTTTTTTTTTTTTTTTTTGTGGATTACCATCAGAAGGCGTGGCCCATACTTAGGGTGGGTTTTCCCACCTCAGGTAATCCAATCAAGACGTCCCTTCACAGGTGTGCCCAGCTGATTAGTTAGGTTCTAGTTGATTCCAAATGTATTCAAGTTGACGACCAAGACTAACTAACCAACACAGTTACAATCAGCGTCCATGTCTACAGATGGCAATATCCATATTAGCGAACACTAATATAATTATTCTCAGAGTATATTTTAGATGGATGTATCTCACTTTGTTACTACGTTAGCACGGTGTGTGTGTGTGTGTGTGTGTGTGTGTGTGTGTGTGTGTTTCAGCGCATTGCAAATGTTGCTGTTTAACTACACAGCGACCCTGGAGGGAGTGAAGGATTGTTACATTTTATAGATGAACAAGTCAGCATGCATACCAGGCCTTCAGACTTTGTCTTCCTCCCCGGGGAACTGAAGGTCACACAGACATATTCTTGACAGGTTTTCTGGCGATTTGGGAAGAAAACATGACTTTGTAAAACAAGAGCTCATTATGAAGCAAAACAGCAAATGCTCAAGAACCGTTACTAATACGAAGGAGTTCAAAGAGTCTCTACGCTTGAAGAAGCGCTGGCAGTCCACACCTGGCCCCACAGTTCTGAGCACAAAGCCTTGCACTGTTGAGTATTATTGGAGAAGCCTTAGGCTGTCCATGGTTCAAGCAATATGAGCCACGCTTCCAGTGTGGCCTAAGAATCTGAAAAGATTTGCAAATCCGGTTGAGAAAAATGGATTTTAGCATGCCAGATTCCGTTTACAAAGCTGCATACATAATATCGTCTTGCATGTAGAGGGGACCCAAGCTGCACGGAACTGTCTCCCTCTACAGATCTCTGAAAGTGTGGTGCTTTCGAAACATACGTGTTACTCGATTTCAAATAATGGGTACCCGTTCTTAAGGTCTGATCTGGTTTTGTCGTTGCTTTTTGGTTTTGTCACGGGCATTGCTGATGGTGAAAATGTGAGCCCCTGAAGAACACGGGCGCTGGATCTTAACTTTTCAGGCTTTTCCATAAAGAAAGGCTTTGAGATGTTAATTAGACTGTACCCAGCGTTTGCTGATATGCGGTCTTCATCGTGACGATTTGCATGAGTTTAAACTCAGAACTTATTGGCGATCTTGCACCTGCATCCCCAGTTTAGGGCCCATTTATATCTATTTTTACAGAGGCTCCCTTCTCGAGTGAATGCCCAACTTCTGCACAATCAAAAAGAACAATGACCTCTAATTGTCACCAGCCTCCCAAATGATCCATTGAGAAAAGTGAGATCGGCTTCGCCGTGCCGTCACTATGGTCTGCCCATCCCTTTTACTCACTGCCTTTCAAATCTCAGCCTTCGGAATTTATATTTTTTTTAATCGCACTTCGCAAGAAGGGAGCGTAGCATTTCCCATTCTTACTCAATAACCATTCCTCATGCTGCAGACTTCAGTCCCATTTGTATGTTGAATTATAATGACAAGTAAGCAACTAATCAAGTCATGGATCTTAACTTTTTTTATGCTAGTATGGGCGGGACATACTGGTTCATATATGTGGCACGCGTGTAAGTGTCCATACGTGTTTGTGTGCATACGTGTGGAGGTTAGAGGTGAACATTGAATGTCTTCCTCTGCACTCTTCAGGCAGGTAACGTTAATGCTGTCAGAGGGTCCTTGGGAATGGTGCACACTGGGTACCACGCTTTCTTTCAGTTGTCCCTTGGGATGCTGAGCAAGGGTGGCTGGAAATCACAGTTTTAAAAACAGGGGCTTCACATATCCCAGGCTGATCTCATCTCACTGTGTAGCAAAGATGACCGTGAGCTTCTGATGCTTCTGCCTCTCCCACCCAGGTGGTGGGATTGTGGACTCCTAGCACCGCGCCTCGTTATGGGGTGAGTCTGCCAAGTGAGCCATGCCCCTAGCCCACATTCCATTATTCTAAGGACCTCTAGAAATCTCTTTCAAATAGTATTTCCTACTTTCTAAATGTGGACACTCAGATTGTTGCAAAGCTAATGTATAGATCAACCAAACGTGTTCTCTGGCTAAGAGTAATAGCAGGTTGCTATTCCGTGGTCTCTGGTGCAACTAGACACCCTAAGACATCTGTCAGTATGACACTTTCAGTATCAGTCGGCATCCAGATACATATTAGTCACTAAAGTTATCCAGACATGGTTTTGCAGTCGATTTTCTGAATCCCGAGACCAATAGGTATAGGTCAGTCTGCCCAGCTCTCTGCTAGGCGGGGGCAGCCAGGTAAATACCCAAAGAATGGTTAGTGTAATTGGCAGATGATTGAGCCTTACGCTGAGGGTTATTTTATTGGCATCTCAACATGGATATTGACGCAAACCTAACATCTGTCTGAAGAATGGCAGTGTGCAGGAATCTTAACCTTTGACTGTGAGCAGCTGTCTTTATTTTTGTTTGTTTGCTTGCTTACTTTGATTTTTTTAAGTGACTTGTTTGACGTTGTATTTATTAAGGCCTCTTAGAATCAGAAATCACAGTGCTTGGATGTGTGTGGTGGCACAGGCTTGAAATCCCAGCCGTGGAGGCTGAGACGGGAGGGATGCACAATCGAAGCCAGCTGACCTACACAATGAGGTCATACATCAAAACTCAAAATCAAGAAGATCCCTTGTTGGCTCTGTACTGAGGATGCAATCTGACAGGGCAGTTCGCCCTTTCACAGCAAGTATGGAGCAGAGTTCAACGTGCGTGTAATCTCACATGGGTTGTTGTTTCTTAGGGCTCAATGTGACTGGCCAAGAGAAACACAGGAAATGCATGTATGATGAACTAGAGAGCCCGAAGTCTGTGTAGAGAGTGTTCAAATGTCTTATTTATTGCTTTGGTGCGCTGTAGTCTCTCGGGAAACACACACAAGTTAACCTGGGTTTCTGCATCTCTCCGAAACTTGAGTTCACGTGTCAGAGAAGAGGAAGTAAGGGACCAGGGAATTTTTGACTGTCATCTCTACAGGTGTGGATGCTAAGGAACACACACACACACACACACATCCACTTCATGGTAGCTTGACTGGCCTCAAAATTTTTTCTACCAGAGACACTTCAAAGACCCGAGATACTCTAGCCTGGAACTTCTCCTTTTGTAAAACAGAAGTGTGTGTGAGAACATCAGAGGCAGAGGCAGGGTTTTTTTTTATTTTAGCTCATAAGAAGCTAATAGAGTAAATCTTGGATGTCATATTCCAGTCTTGCAGCTCATTACCCCAAGTGACTTTGTGTTGAGATATTCCAGACTAGGGGTCGGATCCAGGGCCTTTTATGTGCTACTTAAGGGCTCTGCCACTGATCTCCACCCGAGTCTGGACGTGGTAAGATTTAGAGAGTCTAATAGCACCTACAGGAAAATGGGTATGCGGAGTGGCCTTCTGTCTTTGTAATCTCATTCCGTAGGATTTGAACGTCTTTTTTTCAGAGCTGGTTCTGAACAACACATTGAAGCCTCCGAATTAAGAAAGTGAGTTCAGAGACCAGGGTAGAAAATGAAGGAAAGCGGTGTAAGGGGACAGCGGTGACTCTGGGGACTGGGTTTTCTTAGGGGATTGGCAGATGAGGGCACCAGGAAATGTGTTGTTGGTGATGAACATGAAGAGCCACGCCCCCTTGATGACCAACTCGGTCGTGGCCCTGCACAGCGACCTGCCTGTTGGGAGAAAACCAACTCCAAGAAACCCTGCCGTTTAATATGTTTAAGTCCCTGTCCTGACATGCCGTTCCTTCTTTGTTGGCAGTGGAGATCCTGACCGCCCGTCAGAAGAAAGCGGAAGAGCTGAAGAGGCTGACCGACCTAGCCAGTCAGATGGCAGAGATGCAGCTGGCCGAACTCAGAGCGGAGATTAAGGTCAGTTCCGTGGAACTCCAGCAGAATGCTGAGCTGATGCTCTGATCCCGCTGTGTGTGGTTTGTATCAGTAGCTGGCTACTCAGACCATATATACCCCGCGCCCTCCCATGGGATCGGACACCATATATACCCCGCGCCCTCCCATGGGATCGGACACCATATATACCCCACGTCCTCCCATGGGGTCGGAACACAGACTACAGAAGGGTGAAGAAACAATCGCTATCCTTAAGTTTATAGACACACTGAGATGATTCTTGTAAACAGCACAGGGTAAAGTGGCCAGAGGGGAGGTGGTCACCAGGAAGGCAAGAAATGCTTATAACAAAGTAGGAAAGTGACGAACACCCAGTTATTAAACACACAGTGTGTCTGCAAACGTGTGCACCCAGCTTCCGCCTGGCGTCTAGAAACCCAGGGTCCTTTCAGCATAGAGCGGCTGCTGGCATTAGAACAGTCTGTCCATCGCAGGAGGAAGCTGCGTGGCAAGAGCAGAAAGGGCCAGGTGGCATTTGATGCATCCCCTCCATCCTGGTTAAGTATGGAAGGGAGCGGGGATTGGGCGTCAAGAGCCCTGGAGGTATTTCCCTTCTCACCTCCCCCCTGGCTCTTGCTTCCTCCTACCCAGCCAATTGCAAGGGCCTCCTAACTGTCTTCTTCCAGCTTCTCTACTCTGGGTCCAGAGTTAAATTCCCAAACAGACCTAGCCTCCCTTAGTACAAGCCATCCCCCTGCCTCAGAATCCAATACAGTACAGGACTCAGTAAATACCGCAGCGCCTATTTCCTCTGAAAATTCCAGCTTGTTAGAACTTCAAGCAAAGAGTGTGGGATCGCAGCTTCCTAGTCAATTGAAATCAATTTTCTCCCAGGTTTCATTTCTGCCTATCAGAATCCCACTTTTCATTACATGGTTGATAGCACAGGCTTCGGCGTGAAACAGGATAGCTCCCAAATTTTCTACTTCTGTGGCTTGGGTAAATTACATATTGTCTTAGGTTCTTAGAGTCCGGCCCCCTCATCTGTAACATAGAGGTAATAAGAATACTGACTTCAGGATAACGTGATCGGGCGAAAATGAGGTTATTTCTTAAGAAGTCGTTCAGTCAGCGTCCGGTTTAATTTTTTAAAGTGTTCCAGCTCCCGTGTTCTCTCTTCTAAGACCCTCTCCGCGTGCCACTCAGCGAGAGATAATTTCTTCCGCTCCTACGTCTCCAAAGTGCCAGCCACTTCACCCTTGGGTTGAATGGCATGTCTTTCCTCTCTAGTAAACTCCCTGATACTCAAGGAGGGTGTGAGTCACAGTTGTTTCTGTGTTTCTCGCTGCGCTGTCTACACCGCGATCTTAATTTCAAGTGGAATTTAAATGAATTGAAAGCTAATCTTTCCCACTCCCCCATAGCGGCACTTGAGATTCCTTCAGGAAGATTGTGTTCTCTAGACGCAGAAGACTTGGTTTCTTATTAAGATAGAGACTAGGTGTCCAGGGATGACGGCGTATTTTCCTTTGACGGTTAATACTGTACCAGGCCCTCGGCCAAGGTAGGCGGTCCAGGCTGGGATGCATCTCGGAAAACCACACTAGTGAGGGATGCTAAAGGATTGAGTAGATGAGCCTGGACATAGAGCTTCTTCTTGTCTAAGCTGCAGTTGGGAACGTCGGGTCTCCTAACTTATTCCCAGAAGAAGGTGGAGGGTGACGGAGGCAGAACCAAGCCTCAGGCCAACTGGACACGAATGAGACTCCTCAGGTCCGCCATCTGTGGGCACAGGAAGAACACAGTGAAGGGGTGCGCGGGTGTCCTGGCCGCGGTTTGGAACTCCTCCTCCACTTTTCTTCCCTCCAGCACTTTGTCAGCGAGCGCAAGTATGATGAAGAGCTGGGCAAGGCGGCCCGCTTCTCCTGCGACATCGAACAGCTGAAAGCCCAAATCATGATCTGTGGAGAAAGTGAGTTGTGCGTTGTGCATGCGTACTAAATAATTCCGCGTGAGTAAGCCTACCGCGGTTTGGGGTTGATGGCAGAAACGGCAGGTGGACGGTCGGCCCCCCAGGTATGGCTAAACGGAGGTCTGAGGAGCTTTAATGGTTTACGGCCATGACATTCGTCACTGGAAGTGTCAGGATTTGAACTTAGACTCTTCAGATGCCACTGCCCGTCAGCAGATCCCCAGGATTTAAGCTGAATAGAGCAGGTCAGCTGGTTTGCTACCTTTCACAGGCTTCCCCTGAGCTTGTCCAGGTACTCCGCTGCCCTGCTTGCAGCCTGCCTGAGAGCCCTGAGCACCACGCCCCCAACCCTCGGCCCCGCTCCCTGCTTAGCCTGGGTTCTCTGCTGAGTGAAGCCGGAGATAATGAGAGACTTCGTGTCAGCCATTAGTTTAGTCTTGTTCCCTATTAAGCCTTAATTGGAGAGGCTGATGTGCAGCTAAATTGGCTGCTGCATTTTCCTGTTCTCCGGCCCACACACGAGGGGAGGCGGGGATGAGTGACAAGCGCTAACGTGGCTTTGAGGACAGTCACCAAGGAGGACCGGCAGCCATCCACAACCCCATAGTCAGCAGGAAGCTAAGATTTGACTGCGCTTCTTTTTCTACGTTGAAATTTCTTTTTTTTTTTTCTCCTCGAAATAAAAAGTCTATCAGCGCAATCTAAAAATTACCAAGTTGCGTTGGCTAGCATGTGACCTTGCTTTCAGGTCACCTGTCTGCCGATTACATACCACATACATGTGTAGTAATACAAGCTACTTTCGTCACAGTAGATGCTAGACCTTTTCCGTGTCCGTATGTTCAGCTGAACACTGATGTAACTGACGTGACCAATCCTAGGGTTGTAGCCTTTAAATAACCTCCCATTTTGAGCGCCAGAAAACAATGCCTTTGGCTTCCTGTTGGCCATTTTTGTCAGCCACCTGATTTTCTTGCTGTGCTTTTTAGGTTTTTTTTTTTCTTCATATTGATGGCAGGACCTCCCTCTTGGCCCTTCTACAAACAAGCAGTTTGGTTGACCTTGGGGAAGGAACCTGCCCATCCCGGGTTCTCCTTGAATCAGACAATAAGCTGGGCTCCAATCCTGGGTGAATCTGTGCCACCTGGCTCTGCTGGGGGAGGGACACTCCACTGGCTTCCCTCCAGGCGCCAGCTAGTGAGAGAAGCCGACCCTTATCAAATTTACGAGTGTCCACATAAAAACGGCCAGCCTCGAGTGTTTGTGACAGTAATCCTCACGAAAATCCTTCGTGGAAGGTGTGCATCACTGCGGCGACTGACCCAAAGGCGGAAACGGGAAATAATGACCCCAGGAGCCTGAACCTGGCTAGCCGAGATCTGCTGAAATCCCCTGGCTGTGTTTGGACAGCCCAGAATCATTTATCACACCTTACCTACCATATGAAGGGGCCGGAGCTTACATCCCCCGTCCTTTCCACTTCTAACATTCTGTGAGCCCTGCTAGCCACTCCTAATCCTCCTGCCAAACCCCGGGATTAAGTCCTGATCCGACAAAGGGAACAGAGAAAATTGCTTTGAAAAATTGGTGGCAATTTTAAAATTCACAAGAAGGTCTTTCCCCGTCCAGCCTGACTGTTGAATCCCAGCAAGCTGTGAGAGAAGTCACGGCTTTATCCTAGAATTGATTCCCTCTGGCCTCGATTCGGTATAATCACACAGAAATCACCCTGCCCGAAACCACCACTTTCAGAAACAACAGGACTGGCAATAATAAGCCTTGAACAGACCTGTCTGACCCGAATGTGCGCCTGACAGCAGCTGCCTGATCGGCCTGCCGTGCACGTCGCCCTGGGGATGATGCTGGTCTGTGCTTAAAGACTGGTCTGGGTAGCCCTGGTGGAGTATAGGAGATGCCCGGGACTGGCCGGCCTGCCCTATGGTCAGGGATACTCAGGACCCAGGGCCACAGAATTTCTGAGGCATAACATCCATCCACGCCCGTGCTCTCAGAACGCAGGGCTCTGCCAGCCTCTCCATCCTTACGTGTCTGCAGCATGGGCTAACACAGGACCTGATAAATGGAAGAACCAATTCACTTATGCACGAGCCAGAGAGGGAGCGCACAATGTCATTATCTCGCTGTCCGTGCTGGTTCTTGACCTAAAGAATAATCTTTAAGTTACAGAGGTGTGTCTTTGTTCCTTCAAATGCCTCTCCTCATGGAGTCTCGCAGGAGAAATGTGGCCTTTCGAACTACATCTTAAAGAATGACCCCTAATGTCTGTATGGAGCTCCTGCCAATTTCTCCCCTCTGTGGCAGTCTCTAATGGCTCCTCGGGCAGCGGTGCTCTTGGCACGGCCCCTAACACCCATTCTCCCTTGCAGTCACACATCCAAAGAACAACTATTCCTCAAGAACCCCCTGCAGCTCCCTGCTGCCTCTGCTGAACACTCCCACCGTGGCTTCCGGGAAACAAGGGAACTTTGCCCGGAAATCGTCCAGTCACAGCAAGCCCTCGGAGGGGAAAGTGGCAAACCCCAAGATGGTGAGCGGTCTTCCCAGCACTGCCGATGCCTGTCACCAGACCATGCCCACGAACAAGCAGGTAAGCCGCTTCGGGAGGGCCTCATGGCGCTGCCTGCAGGGCCTCTGATGGTGCTGGTACACGATGCCCGCAAGGGCACCGCCCATTTCCAGAGGAAGAAAGTAACAGCTCAGAGCCACTGAGCTAGTGGTCCTGTCCAGGCTCCCTCAAGCTCGAGAGCACTGGCTGCCTGGCCTCACCTCCTGCCTTATGAGCTTCACCATGTTGTCTCATTCACCTAATGGAGACAGGTCCTCTCATGTCCTTCTTGCCAGCATCTCCAGGTCCTGGACAGTCCACTGAAACCATTAGTGAGAGGGAAAGTGGCCATTGCTGTTATTTATGATTTTAAAAAGTTCCTGCTTAGGTTTGGAGTAACGGGTCAAAGTCAGGCAAACTTGTCTTGCCGTGGAATTTCAGTGAGGGACACACATTTCAAAATGACTTTCTTGGTTCACTCCTGCCTTCCATGGCCTCTAAAAAGACAGCTTTTCGCTGGCGGTGGCACACGCCTTTAATCCCAGCACTGGGAAGGCAGAGGCAGGAGGATCTCTGTGAGTTCGAGGCCAGTCTAGTCTATAAAGAGAGTTCCAAGACAGACAGGACTGTTAGACAGAGAAAGGCTCTGTATAACAAACAAAACAAACAAACAAACAAAAAAGCCCTGAACTTTTCAAAGAACAGTCTTCCACCTCTCCTCCTGTTTCTGAGAAGGAATTAGTAGCCCGAGTTTAGAAAGTGGAAAAGAAGCGGGATTCGGATTCGGTGACGTAGGTGTTGAGTATATAGCAGAGAGAGCTTTCATGATCTCCGCAGCTCCCTTTCTCTGGGTTTCAAACCACTGGCTTGCTACCAAGTGCCCTGGGGAGTCGCCTTCTCTTGGCCTTTAGGAGTTCCCACTGTTGATGCTGCCGGGCATTTCTGTGACTTCATGAGCCTGAAAGTAGTAGCTGGTTAAGGGAGCAGGGTACAAACGCACAGGCTAAGTGCGTCTCCGTCTCCACAGTATCTGCCAAACCCGTTGCTGTCCTGTAGATTCCTCTTCAGCTCGGTGAAGTTAGTGTGTAGGTGATGGCTAATTTAAGTAGTAATTCCCTTGTATATCTAAGCACAACAGGGAAGAACAGGCAGGAAGGGACCTGTGTTCCAGAATAACTGTTATGAGTCCCACATCACTGTCCCTTTTGCAGAGTTAGGGGTCAGTGAGGCCAAGAAGATATATACCCAGAATCAGCACTCTCTTCTCCCTCCTCCTCTTCTCCCTCCTCCTCTTTTTCTCCCTCCTCCTCTTCTCCCTCCTCCTCTTCTCTTTGAAGATGATTAACTTTCTTCCAGTTCCATTTACAAGACTGTAGTACTGGAACTGAGAATTATGTCAACCTGGCCTGTTTGCCTGCTGTCTTTCACGACTGTGGTTTGAAAAAGTTTGTCTGTGATTTAGGGGGTAGGTTTCCCCGATACCAGTGTCTTTGTGGTTTGCTGGCTTCAGACCCTTACTTCATGTCTCTTTTTAGCAGAATGGACCTTCTAGCCAAAGACGAAGATTTAACCCGCAGTATCACAATAGGCTAAACGGTCCCGCCAAGTCCCAGGGCGGTGGCAACGAAGCCGACCCCTTGCTGAAGAGCAACAGCCGGCACGAACACAGAAGACAGCCTCACAATGGCTTCCGTCCCAAAAACAAAGGTGGTGCCAAAAACCAAGAGGCCTCCTCGGGGACAAAGGCCCCAGAGGTCCCAACGCATTCTGAAAAGCCCCGTCGACGGCAGCAGCATGCTGCTGACAACTCAGAGGCCAGGCCTTTCCGGGGTAATGTGGGTAGGGTTACACAGTGCAATCTTTGTCCCACTAGAATAGAGGTTTCCACGGAGGCCACGGTTCTCTCGGTCCCAGCTGTGACGTTGGTGGCCTGAGCCGGGAAAGGAAAGAGCAGGCTTTGCCTGGTTTTGGTTCCCTGCCCGAGGTGCTGACCCAATTCGCTGCCAAAAGAGAGTCGGTGAGAATATACAAACCCCGTGTGTTTGTGTCCTTCTCTCTCGGTCATTTTTATTCATCCCGATGCCCTGCTCTAGCTCGCTCCATCGTGCCCATGCTTTGCTTGCTCCGTCGTCGCTTCTCCTCACGTTAGCCAGGCCGTATTTACTCTTTGTTAGGGAAACCAAGATGAGGCTGGGGATCGGAGGCTCCGCTAGCTGATCTGTGTCGCCCCTGCCGCCGTGGCATCCATCCGTTGGTTGTCTTTAGAGAGTTCAATGTTGGAACCAGAAATTCCCGCTCAGACAAGTGTGATCTGCCGAAGACACATGTGCTTTTGTAGAATTAAACATCTGGTGTTTTTCTGAAATATAGATAAATATATATATAAACATATATTGCTTTATTTGAAACAAATTAAAATATGCTGCATTTGACGCCCGGCTTGGTTCTTTCATTGATGGCTACCTTGGTGTGGAATGTTCTTTGACGCACTTTTGAAGCAGAGGTAAAGACCTGAGGTTTAATGCCAAGCTCTGTTTGAAACAAGAACTCTTAGGAAGCAGTGATATTCCCTCAGTTACTATTCAGATAGGTGCTACACGCCCAGTCATGGATGCTACATGGTAATTAAAAACCATGTATGTAACAAAGTTTCCCTCAGTCTAGTTTTGACAATAGAGATGATAGTTAGTTCATTGGAGACGATTGGTTCATGAACCAAAGTCCAGAATTAAAGCATGCCTTCGGTCCAATTTGATCATGATTCCTGCTCCTTTCTCTTAATTCTGAATTCTGCCCTCCATATGCTGACACTGTATTCAGAATAATGATAATGACCAACTTGCTGAGCTCTCTCCGTGGCTTCTGTGTGGGGCAAGTGTCTTGTTAGAAGTCACAGCAAAGCCCTGGCATGCCATGACTTACAGACCGGATTGTTGTTGGTCACCCATGGTGAGAACGAGTTAACAGAACAAGCTCATTAGCCTATACTAATGAGTATAGTATAGCCTATACTATACATTAGCATGAACCAATCAGAGCCCTTGACACTGACATTGGGATTTTCCAGAAGCACTGGCTGTGTAAAACTACTGTGACCTCAGAAAAGGGGAATGGACATAGAGTATCTCCAAAACCGAAGAGCCCCAATTCCCCTCTTTGGACCGTGGGGTTTCCTTTGCTGGCTACTTCCAAGTGCAAATGCTTCAACTCCGTGTTGAGGTTTTTTTTTTTTTCCTGGCAGCCCAGGTTCATTGGTTCCAGGCTCATTGGTTCCAGGCTCGTTGGTTCCAGGCTCGTTGGTTCCAGGCTCATTGGTTCCAGGCTCATTGGTTCCAGGCTCATTGGTTCTCTTCTCCTGAACAGCCCAGCATTCAAGCCACACAGGCATCCGTTTCTTCTTTTGCCAAGTACAGGAGGATGTTTGCTCTCACCAGAGCTTTCTGAGGTCTCTGAGTGTACCCAGAGATTTAATAGGAATTCAAAATGTCAAGTCACATTCCAGGAAGGAAGGAAGAGGAACTGGTTCAAATAAGAAAGATGAATGTTTGGGACCACACTCTCTGTTGACCCATCTGAGGCCCTGAATTCATAGCTTACGAAGCAGGAGGATTTTACACAAGTTTCGTGTAGCAAGATCCTGCCGAGCCCCTGAAAAATGTCAGTCCCTATCTGACAGCCATAAAGATGGGGAAGATTATTCTTAGAGAGGGAAGGAAAATGGACATGCCAGGGAGGAATGTGCCCTCTCCAGAGTTCGAGCCAGCCGTTCTTCTCCTGGCCCTGCTCCCTCAAGTTGCCCTGGAGTTAAGAAAGCTCAGACACTTTCCTGAGTGCAGAGCAAACACGCCCAGGTCACTGGGAAGGACGAAAGAATGCTGAAAAGTGCTCAGACCTGATGACAGTTCTCCCCCCCCCTCGATTTTTTGCCTTGGACTCTGTCATGGGGGCATTTCCCAATCTTCACTTTAAAGTGGTAATTCGATATTTTAGACCACTATCAGTTCTTTGAAACAAATACTCTCTCATGTTTATGTTCAGAGGTTTCTGTCCTGCACAGTCTAGTTGTTCAGCCCCAAAGAAACACACAGAGGTCTACATGAATTATAAACTGGATGGCCTATTAGCTCAGGCTTCTTACTAATTCTTACATCTTACATTAACCCATTACTGTTGTTTGTGTTAGCCACATTGCTTGGTACCTTTGTCAGCGAGGGCTTCTCCTCTGGCTTCCTCTGCAGCTGGGTCACCACTGCAGACTGCCTCTTTCCTCTTTTCAGAATTCTCCTGTTCTTGTCACCCCCTCTACTTCCTGTCTGGCTTCTGGCCAATCAGTGTTTTATTAAAATACAAGTGACAGGGTACAGACCATTGTCCCACAGCACATTTCTTCCCCTCTGGTAGAACCATTTGTTTAATGCGATGGATCTGGGTCATAGTCTTCCATTTTCACTTCTTAAGTGTGTGTACATGTGTGTGTGCGCACGCGTGTATGCAGATGCGTGTGTTATGTGTGTGCGTGCGTGTACGTGTGTGTGCACTCATGTGTAGATGCATGTTTGTACATGGACACCAAAGGACAAGCTCTGGTATTGTTCACCATTCGGATGTCCACCTTAGTTTGGTTTGGTTTTCCTCTCACTGGCCTGAGGCTCCCTAATCAGACTCTCTCTGTGCTCGGGAGTGAGTCCCAGGGATCCACCCAGGGCTGCCTCCCCAGCACTAAGACTGCCCGGTGCCTGCCCAGCTTTGTATGTGGGTTGTTAGCGTCACAGTCAACTCTTTGTGCTAGAATGTCACACCCTGTCCCAACCAAGCCATCCTCCAGCCCAATCCTCCATTCTCAATAAAGAGTGCTAAACGCCTTTTCAAAAGCCAGGAGCTTTATGAACACTGATTTCTCCACTTAACGTAGGGAAGTCGGAATAGAGCCCTCTCTTTGACACGTCTCTGATAGAGGTCGGAACTGCTTAATGGTAAGAATGTGTGCATAATTTCAAATCTCCCCTGCAGTTCACCACATAGATCTTCCTTCCAGACTCTGAAATCCAAACTCCCCGATGGCTGCCCAATTACATTCCAAATTCACACTTCACCGGGGAGTCTGCAGGTCCCACTCTGTGGCCATGAGAATGTCGCCTGCCTGCATGCAGTGCGTTTAACCATGAAGAAATTCGCCCTCAGTAAAGACTGCGTTTAGGGGGAGGAACCAGTAACAGGAGTCCTGACCGAAAGCTCGGGTTACAGACAGGGCTTCTGTTCACCTCAGGAACGGGGATTTTAATTAAACATTCTCAGAGGAGCTTCATCGTATAAGGCTGATGGGAAAAGTGACCAGCTATGAGTTTTTGTTAAAGTAACAGACTTGAGAATTCTGATTTTTCTAAACCTAGGTTTCAATGCTGATTTAATGATGAGAAGCGGAGGCCAGTGTTTCTTAGACCCGTTGGCAGTGAGGACCGGGAGGCTGGGCTTTTCCCCAGCTGTACAGAAGATGTCTGGATTCCTCACTGCCCCTGACACAGCATTCTCTCATTCTCTCTCCCACCCTTTATGCAGGGCCGGTGTTGCTGGCTGGTTGTGGTGCCCTCGTGTGTCTTGCAAGAGTAAACACTCTGCTTCTCCAGCAGACATTCTACTGACAGCTTAGGAAATAATGTCGTGTGTTTTTCCCCCTCCTCCACTGAAAGAAAATCTCTAAACTTCAGGCACA